GGTGGGGGCAGATGTGGGGTGGAGGGGGGCCAATGGGGAAAGAAAAGGGGACATCTATAATACTTTTGACAATAAAGATAAATACTACCCTCCCCCCAAAAAAGTGGCTGTTCTAGAAGCATTACTGTTAAATCCAGGAGCAACACAAGAATGATCACCACCACCAGCAGCAGCACCATCACCTCCACAGTTAGTTCTTCTAGGCTATGTAGGCAATATGAACATTAAAAAAACAAAACAAAACCAATACAAAAAAACAGAAAAAGAGATTTTATATCATAAAAGAGGACACAAAATTAATTTGACCAATATTTACTAGAGGCCATAGAGTTCACCTTCTAGGTAGAGAAATAAGAAGAGCTATGGTGGATGATGAGTATAGTGAAGAAAAATAAAGAGAGGTATGGGACTAGAGTGATAAGGGTGTGACCTTACATAATGAGGTCAGGGAAGGCATCTCGGATAATATGATTCTGGAGATGAGGCTGAGTGAAGAGGAGTTAACTGTTAAGTGTTCCAAGCAGAGGGATGGCAAGTCCAAGGACTCTAAAGTGGGCTCTGAGGGCACGGTAAATGGAAGAGATATGGTTAGAGAGGCTGTCTGGACTAGGCCATTCCAGGACCCCTAAAAAGCAGTAAGGACTTTCTATTTTATTACCTCAAAGGGTTTATAATAGAGACTAACAATCTGACTGATGACTGTTATTTACTACTATTTTTTTTTTTGAGCAAGAAAATCCAATGAAAAATATTAAAACTAATAACAAAGTTTTGTGATGAAATGGTTAAATAAGTAACACAAAAAGTCAATACCTTTTATATCTCATATTTAGTTACATACCAAATAAAGGAATTATTTTTATTACTTCTCAACAGTAAAACTTAGAGTAATGTTGAACTTCACAACTACTGAAAGAATCATAATACTATTAATATCCACAATTGTTTTTGTGATCAACTATTAAAAAAATCAGTATTTAGCCGGGCTCAGTGGTTGAGCATCGACTCATGAACCAGGAGGCCATGGTTAAATTCCCGGTCAGGGCACATGCCTGGGTTTCGGGTTCTATTGCCAGTAGCGGGTGTCCAGGAGGCAACTGATCAATGATTCTCTCTCATCACTGATGTTTCTGTCTCTCTCTCCCTTCCTCTCTGAAATCAATGAAAACATATATTTAAAAATATAAAAATAAACCAGAATTTAAACAATACAAATACCTCATCAGAACAGCAAACAGATCTGCTCGGTGGGCTGTTTTCACTACTGTATTATCTTCTGAAATGCTAAAATGCACTATCTCTTCCTTAAAGCTTCTGTCTTCAAGCAATCTCTGTAAATTTTCCCTTTAAAAACAGCAAAAATCATCATTTAATAATCAACAGTGCTTTTTAAAAAAATGCAATATGGTAGAGTACTACGTGTAACAAAAAATAGATACTAAAGAATAGTCTATAAAGTAGTTGACATCCATAAAGAAAATCTTCACAGAAATACCTTCCAAAATGATAGGTTCTCAATTTTTAAAAGATAAAAGGGATTATAAAGAGTTAGACTTAGTCAATAATTCAGCTGTTTCAAAGAGCATAATACAAAAGCTTTCTTTAGTTTTTAAAGTGATTGTTATGATTTGCTAAGTAGTCACCAAAATTAAGACATTATATAAGCAAGGAAAAATGATATGTTCGCAACACATACTTTTAAATTAATATTCTCTTTCCCACCTTATTATTATATATATGGAGAAGCACTCTTAACAAATAAATATACTCCCAGTTTTAATTTCTTACCTAAAACAACATTATGATTTCCTTAGAAAAAAAGGAAATTTCCAAGGCCTTAATAAAATTATTTTAGAAGAGGCTCTCAGATAGAAAGATAAAAATCAATAAAAGAAATAGCATTTCTTTAGCTTCAAATAACTTACCTGTAAGGGAGAATATGTGGATGTTTATACGTCATTATGCAATCCAGGGTTATTTTTTGTACCATCTGATCTTGATGGAGCAACAACTAAGGATGATATTTCATAGAATAAATCAATGAAGTCTCATACATGCATACCATGGGATAGTAATTTATTTGTGTTAATCTATAAAATTAGGTTTCTTAGAATTCAAATTTTTAGATGCAGTTTAATGCTGATTCCTGACAAAAGCCTAACATTTCCCTGAGGTTAAATAAGGATGAAGAGAATATGAGCAAAGAACAAAATAAAAACAAAACTCTAACATCTGCATCCCGTACACCAGACCTTGGGGTCCGTCAGTCTTTTGGCCAAGACCAATTCCCTACACAATCGGGATTTACACCAAATGAGCTGGTCCTGTGCTGAGCAAAAGCTCTTGATAAAACCGTGAAGGTAACGGTTGTCAGTATAAGGCCAGGAGAGACCTGCTCTGAGGCCACTCTGATCATCCAGTTCAGATTCTGGCTCCCTGTGGTCACCTGAGACTTGAGCTCTGGCTTTACAAACAAATTAGATCCGAATTATGGGCAGATACGGATAAGTTCTGCTGAAATGCCAAAATGAAATGTTTCATCTAGAAAACATCCAAACGGAGAAAGAAAATTTTGTTTCCCAGATGGCTGAGAATGACATCCAATTCTTACTCGGCTTCTGACATTAAAATTTTTTCTTCAATCTTTCCTGGAATTTAGGGTCATATATTGTGGCTGTTAACAGACCATTCTGCCAACTACCTGCTTCCACTCAATATAACAGATCCTGAAATTCTAGCCCTCCATCAGCCTAACTTGACAAAAAGTGAAAAGTAGTCAACTGTTGTTGGCACAACCTGCACTCCCTTCTAAAAGCTACCTCCCATGATATAATTATGTTATTACAGCCCATCAATGTTTGGTCACTAAAAATGCTTTTAAAATCAACTAAATTAGTACTGTCTAAAACTGTTTCTCAAGATATAGAAAATGTCCATTAGCTTAAAAATATATATATTTAAAAATACTATAGAAGATATTATAAAAAATATTAGAATGCAGACAGGGCTCTATTCAACAATTATTGAAAACCTAAAAGTTATTTTGGCAAAGAAAATGGAAAAGAATAGTTCACAAATAATTGCAGAGGCAAGACTTTACCTACCTGAAGATAGAGCTCATATAATTTGGATTCCAGATACAAGGCCCGTGGATTCGAAAACTTAGAGAAAACTTGCAAATGAGCGATTAATTGCCTTAAAAAAAGAGAGAGAGAGACAGGGTACTACAAAATTAAAGAACAGAGATTATTTTCTTTAGATGAAGTACTCACCAATTTTAGTTTCTCTGACAATTATTCCAAAAACCTTGTCTAGATCACAGTACCCACTTATGTAATGAAACACCAATCAAGGTGCTGCGATGAAAGTATTTTGTAGATGTTAACATCTATAATAAACGAACTTTGATAAGAGATTACCCTCAATAATGTGATGGGCCTCATCCAATCAGTTGAAGGCCTTAACAAAAATGGGTATTTCCCAAAGAAGGAATTTTATTACAAGACTAGAACAGAAATCTTACCCTCCGGATTTCAGACTCAAGACTATAGCATCAAGTCCTGCCTGAGTTTCCAGCTTGCTATTCTGCCCTGAAAATTCTGGGCTTGCTGACTCCTGCAACCAGGTGAGCCAATTTCTTAAAACACATCTCTTTATACATACATACATACATACATACATACACACATATGCATGCATGCATCTCCATTCCATTGGCTGTTTCTCTAAAGAGCCCTGACTGATGCAATGTCCATTGTAATTACTTATCACTGGGTGCTTGCAGTTTAACAAACAAACTTCTAAATGATCCTACTGACACATGCACTCCTCTCCCAACATTTATGAATTATTTTTTATGTATCATTTAGCCTTAAAGAGCCAAAGACAACAGGAGCTAATCTGCATGTCCTAATTAAATACTTGCCAGTGAGGGGTGTGTTCCACGAAGGATTATTAACTTGGACTATGAATATACTGAGATGGCACCAAGAACATGATTTTCAATCATGGTGTATATCAGCAATGGCCTAGGTCTGGCTACAGGGGACAGAAAAATTAAGACATGGACCTTATCCTATAAGAGTTTCTGATTTTCATGGAAGATATATAAAAAATTAACTAATAATTCAAGGCAAGGAGTAGCCCCATGATGGAGGTATAAATGGTTATTATGAAAGATTGAAGGAAGGTGAAATAACTTGTAGTTTAAAGGACAAGAAGAGCCTCAGTAAGGGACCTGTGTCTTGAAGCACGAACAGTTTCATTTGGCAGAAACAAGGCAGGGACACAGTAAAAAGAGGGAAGGTTCAAGTGAGAAAGGAAGAGGTTTGACTGGTAACTTATTCATTTGTTCACCAAACTAGTAGGACTAATATTTTGCTGGCTAATATGCTGAAGGACATAAAGAAGAAAACAGCAATGTGTCTTACAAAAAAGTGTGGGGAACAGACCATTCACAGCTGTGAGAAGGCAGAAGCAGAGAAGGAACTTTAGTTGTACGAAACTTGGCCTTGACCTTCCTTCTTCTGTCTTACTCTCCATTTCCATAAGCTGGTGAGCCCTTCCCTGCCCTAGCTGCTGGCAAACTTTCGTCTTTCAGCTTCAAAGGTGCCTTATACTTTGTACAAGTCTTCTTCCTTTTATGGTAGAACTAGAGGCCCAGTGCACAAAATTCATGCAGGGAGGGGGGTGTCCCTCAGCCCAGCCTGCACCTTCTCCAATCTGGGACCCCTCGGGGGATGTCCGACTGCTGGTTTAGGCCCGATCCCACTAAACCGGCAGTCGGACATCCCTCTCACAATCTGGGACTGCTGGCTCCCAACTGCTCGCCTGCCTGCCTGATTGCTGCTAACCACTTCTGCCTGCCAGTCTGATCACCCCCTAAACACACCCTGCCAGCCTGATCGATGCCTAACTGCTCTCCTGCAGGCCTGATTGCCCTCAACTGCCCTCCCCTGCCGGCCTGGTCACCCCTAATTGCCCTCCCCTGCTGGCCTGATCACCTACAACTGCCCTCCCCTGCCGACCATCTTGTAGCAGCCATCTTTGACCACATGGGGGCGACCATCTTGCGAGGGTGTAATTGTCAATTTGCATATTACCTGTTTATTATACAGGATTAAGTCATTTTTTACTGTGCTCCCATAACTCCTTTAACACGTTAAGCCCCATGTCAATCACTGGTGACTGATACTATACTTTCCATCTGGAAGACAAAACAGGCTGGGCGCTTAACTTGTTAAACATATTTCCTCTATAAAAATATTTCACTAGGTATTTGACCAGGGGTGGGCAAACTTTTTGACTCGAGGGCCACAATGGGTTCTTAAACTGGACCGGAGGACCGGAACAAAAGCATGGATGGAGTGTTTGTGTGAACTAATATAAATTCAAAGTAAACATCATTACATATAAGGGTATGGTCTATTTTTTTTTTAGTTTTATTCATTTCAAACGGGCTGGATCTGGCCCGCGGGCCGTAGTTTGCCCACGGCTGCATTTGACCTTGCTTTCTGCAATGCAGAGGCTAAGTACTGTCCATACCTGCAGCCCAGCACTTAGCAAAAGGCACTCAATACAGTTGATGAATGGGCAAACTAGTAAATGGCTCATGGGAGAAATTCAACAAATAGATGTAGGTTAAGATCTAAAGTGTTAAAATAATACAATGGCACCAAATCCAGTGGGTCTCTGACACCGGAATTCAGATGATTTTCAAGTTGCTGGAGTAACTTCTACAAGCATGACCACTTCTTACTTTTCTAAGGTTTCTAACAATTTAGGTAAATGAGTTACCCAGAGAGTAAGAGATAATATAACAGCATGAAGAAAAGGTAACCAGAAGGAGACAAGTCAAAAGGCAACGCAAAAGTGCTGACACGCTCACTTATAAGAGGACAGATGTTCCATTACTCGCTTCCCTAGCACACAAACACGATGCCCCGGCGCTATGAAAAGGCAACAACACAGGTCAAAGACTATTTAACAGCTCTGGGCCCCAGCAACATCATGCATAGAAAAAGCTATCATTAAATGATTCCAACTCTAATACTCTGTGGCTAAACAAGAACGAAATAAAAAGCAAACAACCAACATGCATGGAAGATGACAGTTTCTTTGGGCTCTAAAAAATAAATTAATAAATAAATTAATTAATTAAAAAATAAACCCAGGGAGATACAGCACTTATGTAAAATGTATATAGTTATCTGAGCAGGTGATCTCGTCCAAGGCCATTTCCCATCAAGGCCCTGAGACTTACCCCCATTCCTCCGAGAACGGTGGGCGTGTGATGTAACAGCAATGTTGAACTTACTTGGTTGCAGCTCTTCTTGTCGTTTTCTTCTGTGAGGGTTCATCTTGGGACACGTCCTCTTCCACCAACTCTTCATCGTCTCCAGCAGCAGGTTCTTCTGTTTCCTCCGCTGCCACTCCTTTGCTTTTTCTTCTCAGATCCTGGGTTGGAGCGACCTGCAGATCTGCTGGGTAATACTCGTTGCTGCAGTGGAAAGAGTAACACAAGGCAGATGAAGCTGAAATGTCCTAATTCTGTTTGTGACAGACGTACATCCACAGTTCACAGAATCACATGTGGGAGAGACATCAGAGGCACTTAGTCAAGGTTCTTCTAAAACATTCTGTTGTAGTCCAACCCTTGGAAGGACCCTACTTCACAAGCCAATCACTAACTGCAGAAGACAGCCCATCGTTAGACTGTTGAAGATATTTGAAATGTCTACTTCGGACCGAGCTGAAATCAGCCTCCCTGTCTCTGAAAACACAACCAGGACAGGCAGGAATCAGGGTGAACTACAGTAAATATAGGGGTGGGCAAAAGTAGGTTTATAGTTGTGAATACACGAAACAGTTTATGCTTGTGCTATTATTTATTATTATATTATTTATTTGTATCACACCTATAAACCTACTTTTGCCAATTGCTGAATTGAAAGTACAGCATTAAGACCATGTTGGTCACTTTAAAACCAGATGCATTCTACTTTGTAGAGGGCTGTAACAAAATTCAGTCCTCTAGATATGGGGACTAATAAAACAGATGGAACTATCAACGGCATAGCTTTTGGGGGCAGTCACAGACTCAACTGAATGTCCAGGCAATAAAAACCAGTAGGTCTTTATGTTCGTCTCCTCTAAATTAAGCTTGTGCAGTTGGCATTCACATTTGTTCTTAATGAAATCCATCCTTTAATTTTGGTCCATTGTTGCAGGTAACTAATATCTTGAAGGCTGTCGCTGTCATTCACTTTCATTTGTTTTGTGTCACTTTAACTCATCCATCCAACAATTATTGTGTGTGTGTGTGTGTGTGTGTGTGTGTGTGTGTGTTTGTCTCTTTTGTGCATGGCTCTAAGCTACAGATGAAAGGGAAATGATCAGATATGAAAGTCAAAAATACACGGATACAATAGCATGTTTTAGGATATTACCGTACAACACACCTGGAGGAAACACCAGGTTAATACACTAAACTACAACTGAAGGGCTGAGATGCTACCATATCCAACTTTGTATTCTCACCTAGCAATATCTAGTAATTAATAAATTTAAAAACAATGGATGAATAAATTAAATGAGTAAAGTTGCTCTGTCAGTTATAAAATGATTTAATAACATCTGAATTATACTCTCAACATTCAATTAACCACATGACATATCTTTAACCTTTATCGCATGCACAGCACACTCACTCATTTACTAAATTTAAGATAATTCACACAAAGCACTTACATAGCAAGTATTCATTAAGTGTCACTGTCATCTATTACAGGGATGTTTTTGCCAGTGTTAGTCATTTGTTCCTGATTTTTGACATGATTCTTCTCAGAGAATGTTTACAAGGGATTCACAAACTGGCTCTAATATCAAATTATTTGACACAGATTTAGAAAGGTAAATTTCTAGCCAAAAATGAAAACAAAAAGGCGATAAAAGATTTCATTGTCAGGATTAAAGGTGACATTTGGGTTTTCCATTAATTTGGATCATCTATAAAAGTATTATTTATAGGTAATAGGTGTCAACTAGTCTTAATTTAAACATTTAAAAAAACTGTATATTTTTCATCTCTGTCTTCTTAACCTCAAAGATCCACTTCCTATTATAGGCTCCTTTCTCTATCCCCATCTCCCAGCATCTTGTACTATTAGAGTAGTGATGGCGAACCTATGACACGCGTGTCAGAGGTGACACACGAACTCATTTTTTTGGTTGATTTTTCTTTGTTAAATGGCATTTAAATATATAAAATAAATATCAAAAATATAAGTCTTTGTTTTACTATGGTTGCAAATATCAAAAAATTTCTATATGTGACACGGCACCAGAGTTAAGTTAGGGTTTTCCAAAATGCTGACATTCTATAAATAAATTGAAGACTAAAGAGTTATGTGAAAAGGAGAAAATCATTACTCTTCTACCAGCCCATCTACTGACCTGCCCGCATCTTGCTTGTAACCTTTGCCAGATGAATTATTCATGGAAACCTTTTCACTTATGCAAGGGATCCAGTTCCTCTTACTATTCAAGGACATGGCTTTAGCAATTGTATCCCCTCCTGCATGTGAGTTTACTCCTCTCTTTTGGTCTTTCCCAGCAGCATTACATGCATACACGCTGCTTAAATCTTAAACAGCAACACAACAGCAGCTCCCTCTCTGCTCCCCCATCTCCTTCCACCTATATCTGCTTCTTTTTTATTTTTTTATAAAAACTGCTCATACTTGTTATTTCCATTTTTGTTTTCCATTCTCTCTTAAACCCATTTAAATCAGGCTTTCAGCCCTACCAGATTAACTCAAACAACTCATGTTAAGGTTCTTCCAAAGCCAATGGTCAGTTCTTATTCTTCATCGGACTGATGTCTCAGACACTTTTGATTCCACTGATCACTCCTTTCTTGAAATCCTTTCTTCAAGGAATACTAAGGGGTCTTGGTTCTTCTTTTATCAGTCTTTCTTGGCCTCCTTTGCTGGTTCCTTATCTCCTAATCTCTAAATATTGCTGTCAGTCCTTGGAAATCTTTCTCTAGATTTACATGCCCACATGTGACTGAATTCCCTGACCATAATTTAAAAAAAAAACAAAACCCACCTATACACCGATGAGTCTCAAACTTATCTCTTCACCAAACCTTTCCCCTAAACTTTAAATTCCAAATTCAAGTACCTACTTGACATCTCTATTTAGATGTCTATTCAGTATCCCAAACTAAAAATGAACTCCTGATCTTCCCTACAAATCTGCAAGCTTCTGCATTTCTCCCAATCTCAGTAAATGGTGACTCTCTTCTTCCAGTTGCTCAGGCCAAACCCTCAGAGACATCCTTGATTCCTCCCCTTCCTCCTTCCTACACTGGCCCTCAACCCTCCCCACCCCCATCCCCATTAGGACACATCTGATCTGTTGGCAAATCCCACAGGCTAATCTAGTTGCAATTATTGAAAATATCTTATTGAACTGAAATCCTTCAAAACATTCAGAGTTCAACTACCTCTCATTCTCTGCACTACTGTAACACTGGTCAAGTCTCCCATCATCTTCTCTTCCTAACCCTCGACTCTCTCTACTCTCACTACTGGTATCCTAGTCTATTCTCAACATAGCAGCCAGAAAACTCCTTATAAAAACTGAAGTCATGTCATCCTTGTTTCTTCCAATGTCTTCCCACTTCACTGACCATAAAAACCAAAGTCCTTACTATCACTTAAAGTTCCTACACAACTTGGTCTCCTGTTAACTTTTTGTCTTCATCTCCAACTACTTTCTCCTGGGATCACTGCTGTAGCCTCTCAGACTTCCTTGTTGTTCCTTGAACAAGCCTGACATGTTGTGGTTCACAGCCTGTTTAACTTAAATCTATAGCATTTTCCCATGTAATGAAATAGTGTTAGAAAACATACATGTACTGTGCTATACACATTCCTTATCTTTAGTTTTAAAGCAAGCTGACTCTCACACAGCTTATCTAGTCAAAATAGAACAATGCTTCAGAACGTTCTTATTATTTTTTGAGAGTACATTCCTCAGCATCATGGGAAACATTCAAGAAGTTCAAAGCAGAGTGGCTGGGGTTGAGTTACTGAAAAATATTTTTAAGCTGCAGGCAGACAATAAAATAATGAACAAACAGGGCAAGAAATAACAAGCTCTTTGTGCACTGAACTAACTCAATATGGCCTTTAACAAAAGAAAAATTCTCACCAGAGTACATGCTTACAGAGAGGAAATGAGAGGGAGGAAGAGAGAAACATTGACTGTCACTCTCCAAAAGAGCCCCGACCTGGGATCAAACCACAAGCCGAGCATGTGCCCTGACCAGGAATTGAACCAGCAACCTTTTGGTGTACAGGATGATGCTCAACCAACTGTGCCACTCCGTCCGGTCTTGATAAGGTCTTTTTATTTTGTAACCTGGAATATTTTATTAACACCATTTGTGGGCTGGTTAAATTCATGTAAAGTTAAGTGGTGAACTAAACTAGGTTAGTTGTTAGAGCCAGTGCTTTATAGATGTGCCAATGATGTGCAAACATGACAGGCATAACAATAACTTGGCCAATTTGGGAGCTTAATACTTTGTACCTTCTCTTCTAGGTACTGAGGACACGCTACTAGGAACATATTCCAAGAAGAGAACACTTACTTGATGAATCTCAAGAAAAGCGGGGAAAGCTCCCTGGACCGTGGCTCTACCCTTTCTGGGAATTTTGCCAGAGCTCGCCACAGCAGGAATCGGAAATTGGTATGGTCCAGTCTTTCCTGACAGTTGGTTTTCAATGCTAACTGCTCAAGATAAAGCGCTCCGACATCTCCTTCTTGAGTCTGCTCCCAACTTTCATCTCCTATGAACTTCTCCTCATCTCTTACATCATTTTGCAGTTCTTTCTCTGAAAGGAAAAAAGTCATCAGAACCACCAGAGAAATGTCAGCATTTGTCCTTTGTGTCCCTCAGGTCAGGGCATTCCTTTCTCTAGCAATATAAGGGAACAATAAACCACATCCAAAGGTTATCAAAGATAACACACTTCTCATTTCTGTTTCCCAACTTCATGTATAATGAAGCAGTAAAAATGAAAGTTAAGCAACCACTTTTCTTCCCAGTTCCACCTGATGCTCTTTACATACCAGCATGGGTAGCTGCTTTTTCTAGATGTTCATAGTAGACGTTCCAAAATTTCTTATTTTCCATTTCATGTGCATGAGAGCTAAAGAAAAGAAGATCACAAGACAAAAGAGGTGATATGATCTTTATTCTGAGGTATCTCACTGGAAAAAGAGTGAAAGGAAAGGACATAACTAAAATGTAGGGCTATAAATGACTTTTGTATTTTTCTATATTCTTCAAAATGCCTGCATGGACCACAGATCATTTTTATAGTCATAAAGTACTAAATAGTACTTTTAACAACCTAAGTGATACCCATAAGAAGACTATTTTTAAAGGCACAATAATGGGCATGGGGTATGAAGTATGGCCTATTAAGGGAAGGAGTGGCCTCTACTTAGAGAAAGTCTTTTTTTTTTTAAATTAAGTTTGGCTCAATGATTATATATAAATAAAATCATGCAATTATTATACAATACTTTGTACTGAAAAAATTCAACAATACAGCTGTATCATATAAAGTAAAAGGAGAAAGTCCTCTAAAGTTATTTCAATGTACAAAGAAATATACATATAACATTTGAACTGTTGAAAAACTTGGCATCAGAGAGAATAATTCATGTTTGTTTTTTCTTCACCTTATCCCACAAAGGATTTATGAGAGCGATAAATCCTTTCAATCATTTAAATCACACCTAGTAGTCTAATACTGGCTCCATCATTCTGCAGTAGTTAAAATGTTATAGCTTCATCCATTTAACCCATGCTTACCTTATGAGTTCAATAACAGGATCCCAAAGAGCACTGAAGTTAACATACAACATGCCTAATAAATAACGAAGCGGCACCTGCAATTACAGACTCATTTAGTAAGTGGGTAACGAACTACGATAAAACAGCACCGAGATGCAAATATCCCAACTCAGATATCCAAAGGTTTGCAAAGGAGCTCATGCTTTAGAAAAGTTGTAGGTACCAATCTGCAAGTCAGTGGCAATAATTTTCCAACTCTCCCCAAAATGTCACTTTTTATTTAACATAGAAGAATCACTAAAGTAAACCTAGTACTCAAACTCACTCCAGATGTTCATGCTGAAAGGAGATATTTAAATGCTCAGATCTGACTCACGATTGAATTCCCTCCTAACAAACACTGCCAGCTCCATCACCTCATTAGACGAAACTTGAACAGATATCAGTAAAGTACAGATGGTGAAGAACCCAAGAAGTCTGCTGGGAATGGCAGCTGTGGCTTCGCAAGCAGATGTCTGAGTTCTCAAAACTATGCCATTAAAGGAGTCCATTCAGAAGGTCTAGTTTTCTCAGTCACCTTTGGCAATGAGTGACAGTCATGACCAGAATCCCATATGCTAGGGAGGCATCATGTAGAATGGCAGTTCTAGTACTATTGGGGGGTGGGTGCCTGTAGCTGTTTTAGCAGCAGAACATAACACAGGACACTAATATATAAATGAGAGCAGGAACAGACTGCTCTGATTGAAAGGGGAATGCCTCCACTTGGCTTCCCTCCCAAAGGGATACGTGATGTATCCACAAGGGTCATGGACAGAAAATCCCGGATACAAAAGGTAGAGGCTGACTTCGTGGGGCAGCGAACAAGTCTGGAGAAGAAATCAGGCTTTAAACTTGACCCTGCATCCTCTGTTGTCACTACCTTCCTTCACACAGGACACATCTTCAGAAGGGGGACAGGAAATTAGTTCCACTGTTGAAATGACTGACAGAGCCACCTAACTCAAAGCATCTAAGCAGTGGTTCTCAACCTTCCTAAGGCCGTGACCCTTTAATACAGTTCCTCATGTTGTGGTGACCCCCAACCATAAAATTATTTCGTTGCTACTTCATAACTGTAATTTTGCTACTGTTATGAATCGTAATGTAAATATCTGATATGCAGGATGTATTTTCATTGTTCGCGACCCACAGGTTGAGAACCGCTGATAAGGGAACTGAGGATTTATCCAGTTACAAAAACTTTTTTGGGGTGACTACTTGGTATGTTTCTCTTTTCAAAAGCCAGCCCAACAGATCTAAAAGCATAAGTAGAATATTTTTTCTAAAAGGTGGTGTTTTATACCTCCTGTAACGGCCCGTCAGGGACTGCGGTCTGCACCACATCATGTCTTAGCTTCCTCAAGTGGAGGAGCTTCTCTCTGTAATCGTTCACAGTCGCGGGGACGAGTTCTGCCTGGCGCAGCACAGCGAAGGCGGACTGCCGCTCCGAGAGCCCGTCATCCTGAGCAGCCGGGAAAACAGGGAGGCATGTCAGCTGTGATTTTCCAAAAGAGCATTAAATGTGACCAAAGGTCTAAAAAGTAAAAACTGGGATGTTAATGTTTTAAGTTAAATAAGCAACACTTTTGGGGAGTGAGGTAAATGATTCGTTTTTCCTCACACCATTTACTCTCTAGTAGATAATTTAGGTTTAGTATCTAGCACAGAATGATAAGGAGAAGAAGAAAGTAATTCTCAAAATGACTCAAACTGATTGGTAACATTTGTTAAAAAAAAAAAGTATATGTATTTTCACTAAATAATTCTCTCTAGTAGAAGTAATTTCTACCTCAAGAAGTAATAATTTTCATTATAGAAATATTTAGCTAAACAAAACTATCTGTGTAAGGATGCTCCCTGCAATATTACTGGATATCCTGAAAAACTGTGAGCAACTCACCGAACCATTCACCAACAGGGAATTGGTTAAATAGGATATTTTAAACTGTGGGCTGCTATTCAAACCTCAAAAGAAATGAGGTAGGATGAGAGGCACTGATATGGAAAACCTTCACGACACCATTAGTTTAAATTGTGTGTGTGTATACAAAAGTCTGAAACAATATGCACCAATTAACTATGGAGTTTCAGTGGTAGCCTTGTTGGCTCAGCGGGAATAAGGATTACAAAAAAATTTCAATTTTTGGTAGATATTTACATAGTGTTTGAATTTCCTATGAAATCACAATCCTCTATCATAAAAGCCTAATATGCCAAGTGTCCAAAGGTTCATTCGATATTCGACTAGTCGCCATGATGCCACTGACCACCAGGGGGCAGATGCTCTGACTGGGTAGGTTAGCTTGCTGCTGGGGTCCGGCCAATCGTGACTGGGCGAGAAAGGCTGGACACACCCTGGAGCCCTCCTGCAGTCCCTCCGAGGGCCCTGATAGTGCACCAGTGGGGTCCCTCAGCCTGGCCTGCACCCTCTCGCAATTCGGGACCCATCAGGGATGTCTGCGTTAGTGAGTTTTATCTCTGAATCTGTGCACCAGGCCTCTCGTTTGGGAAATAAAAATATATATCAAGTTACATTTTTAAAAAGTTATCCAAATCGAACAGTTAAAATACCTCCATTAGTTCCGGAAGTCGAACCTCAAAGTGGTTTAGGATCCTTATTGTCAAAAGCCGAATCTAGAAAAAGTAAAAGGCATGTTTCAAAGTCCAAAGTTCAAACATAAGAACAGGGGTCCTCAAATTACGGCCCGCGGGCCACATGCAAATACAAATATTATATTTGTTCCCGTTTTGTTTTTTTACTTCAAAATAAGGTATGTGCAGTGTGCAAAGGAATTTGTTCATAGTTTTTTTTTTAAACTATAGTCCGGCCCTCCAACGGTCTGAGGGACAGTGAACTGGCCCCCTGTTTAAAAAGTTTGAGGACCCCTGCATAAGAATAAACTATTTAATAGTCAGTGAGATCTAAATTTTATAGAATTATGAAAAATATACCACTTGTCAGCATAATATAAGTTTATTCTATCTCTTATTTCATGTTCAACACCAATACACACCTTATTCAAATGGAGCACTTAATGACCAGACTAGATGGGAAGGGAAGGTTGCACATAAAACCATGTTGTTTCTTTGAACTGTGACACTACAGGCATTTCTGTAATTAATGCAATGAATCTTATTAAGTTTACAATTCCATTGACATTAGTGAGTTTTATCTCTGAATAATGTATTCAGGTATTTCTATACACCTCAATGAGCAGCGGAATCACCCAGAGGGCTTTAAAGCCCCCACTGGATCAGAGCTGGGGTGGGGGGATCCAGAATTTACATTTTTATTAAGCTCCCCAATTAGAACTGCTGCAAACAGTTTGTAGGTCAGTGTTCAGGAATCACTGCTTTAAACAGAAATCACCCCACAGCAGCACTTTCTGACTAAGGAGCTGTGACAAACACTGGCAATACATACAAACAAAAAATGAGAGATGGGAACACACCCCATGACAATGTTACCTTGGATATACCAGTTGAAATGTTTGCTTGTAACTTGGGAAATAATTCCATTAAAGCTTCTTCAGAAAGTGGCCCTTTGCAGCCACATAAGGATAATCTCTGATAATAGAGATCAGCCAACAGCAACACAGATGGCTCCAAAGGAAACATTCTGCAACAAGACGTTTATTAGACCCAAACTGGCCCGTATACCCCAGAGCATTCAGACTATAACAGAAACCACGGAAAATTATCACTGGTGAAGGAAATGTAGAAAAGAACAGGTAAAAGTTTTACGTGGACATTAGCATCACTTTAGAGATGAATCTGAGGCTAGTGACAGTGAATGACGTGCTCAAGGACACATAGCTAGTTGGAGACAGAGGCGGGATTATGCTGTCTTTGCAATCTATATAGTTGTCAGTAACAATGACACTGAGCTAATGAGGAAGCAGTACAGAGGAGGGGTCCAGCACACAGACTTTGGGGTGGGGCAGCCCATCATCCATCAACATATAACCCTGGACAAGCTGCTTAACCTCTACGTGCCGCCCTCCTTTAACAAATATTTACTGAGTGTCTATTATGTGCTAGAGGCTTTTCTAGACACTGGATATAGCAGTACACAATAGGCTAAGTCCCTATCCTCCTGGAGCTTGTATTCCAATAGGGGAAGGTAGCAGTAAACAAATGAAATGTCAGTATGAGAGCAATGAGTGTGGTGGAGAAAAGTCAATCAGGGGAAGGAGGCTGGACTGAGAGCCTGGGTTGTGGGGGTGGGGGGAGAGGGCGAGGGATGAGGAGGAGTGCTATTTGATATGGGGTGTGGTAAATGGCAAATGTAAAGAGATCCTAACTGGTTTCTTTATTCCCCTTCAGTCTCTTCTCAGTACAGCAGCCAGGATGATTAGGCCTAAGTCACCCCCCTAATCCAAATCCTTCTCTGCCCCCTTTCAGAGTACAAGTCAAGGCCCTACAAAGGCCAAAGGTCATACACTGCCTGCCACCCCCACCTGTATGTCCTCTCGTGCTACTATCCATGCCTTGCTCTGCTCAGCCACAACAGTTCCTTGCTGCTCAAGCCAGCACACTCTCCCCACCTCCTGCCATGGGTACACAAATCGCCCCAGGTCTGGAAGAGAGAGTGCCCGAGAGCCCTGACATCCTCGTGGCTTACTCCCGGGCTTCCGGGCTTCTGCTCAGATGTCCCCTTCTTGGTGAGGCCTTCGCTATTTAAAACTGCTCTTGTCCCCAACCTCCAGACTCCCCCTGTCGTCTGCCTCTGCTTTAATTTTCTCACCACCCCCTAACATGCTAGTTATTTTACTTACTTATTTTGTTTACTGTCTCTTTTTGTTAGCATGTTAGTTCCCTGAAGGCAGGAAATTTAGTGATTCTTTCACTATGTCTTCCAGGACCCAGAATAGGGGGCTGGTGCATGAGAAAAGGCGAATGAATATTCATGAGTAAATCTGTTTTTAAAAAGCATGGGAATAAAATGTTCTGGACTCCAGAAACAGAAACAAACTAGTTTACCAGGTTTCCAGAAGGCCTTTTTTTTTTTAAAAAGGAGGCTAAATCCATCCAGTAATGAATGGCTAATGGCCCGGTGCTACTACCCAAACCAGAGCTGGCTGGTATATAGTATAAAGACCACAGGAAAGTTTTCTGAGATGCTGATTGCATCAAGGTGAGAGAACATTAAAGGAGCAGGAATGTGTGTGTAGGAATCACTCCACAAGTTACAAAAGGTCAACATTGTGCAATGTTATGGTTGGGAGTAATCAGCATGAAATACCCTTTACTAATTCTACATTAATTCACACACAGCAAAACACCCCTTTACCAAGATGAACCTGCATATAAAGACTCTCAAGAATTGTATTTATTTTAGTTGGAGGATTTAAATCAATCATGAATCTGCAATGTGAATACAGCTCAGATATAAAATGTCCAAGATTTCACAAACACAGAAGCTTTTGTAGTTTACTTGTTATTAAGGTAAATGGATAATGTGTTTACTCACAATACTAAATTCTTCACACGTTCCACGGGAACCAAATGAAGAAGCTCAGAAGATTCTTCCAAACTCAGCAGAGTACTTACAGCTTGACAAAGAACAAACAAGTTTCCTAAACACAGAAAAACAGGAGAAGCCACAGTACTTATTTCTTTGACACAGTAACTACCAGACATCTCATTTATCTGACACTTGCTATTTATACAAAATTAAGTTAAATGTGAGCCTTCTAACGAATAATCCGTCAAATGTCAGAATTTAACAGAAAGGAACTAAAAGAGAAGGCTCCAAGTTATATGTAACTTTAGAGAAAAATATATTCAGAATTGGAGAATAAAAATGTATGTTCCATTAACTGAGATGAGGACGAAATTCAATGGTTCCACCGACTGGCATTATCAAAATTAGAACTTAGGAGGAGAGCAGACTTGGACTTTTCAAAAGCTAAGACTATCTCTGTATAAAGCTCATGTAGATTTTATGTCTCCAATTTATAAGGAGTCACATATCCAATGGTTACTATCCATAATCCACTTAATTAATATTAATTATACATTCATTTAATCCTTGACCAGATGTTGGCAAGCTATGGCCAGCAAGTCAAATCTTGTAGGTAGTATGTTTTTATATGGCTGGCAAGATAAGAATAATTATTTACATTTTTAAAGTTGTTGTATTTTTTGTTTTGTTTTTTAACAAAAACCAAACAAATAGAATATACCACAAATCTGAATGCAGTCCACAAAACCTAACGTATTTACTAACTAGTCCTCACATAAACATTTTACCAAGCCCTACTCTAGACTTGAGAACAGTGCTGCCCAACAGAACTTCCTGCAATGGTAGGAATGTTCTTACTTGGGACAAGAAGCCGCCACAGTCCAATATGGTAGCCAGTTGTCATGTGTGACCGAGCACTGGAAATGTGGGGAGCTACCTTATTCTCCAATGTGTCTGCTTAGTTTCTAACACAGAATATAGCACATTAATAGTTGAATGAATGAATGACAACTGTTAGAAAAAAAATACTGTGCTAGAATAAAACAAAATCCCTCTGCTGTTCTCAGGCTAGTGAGGGGAGACATACAAGTACAACACAGGGGATGGTGTTTTGGGCAGGGTGGCCACATTCCACCTGGAAGAGCCATGAGGGCCTTTCTAGAGGTGTTGTGCTTGAGCTGAGTTTTGAAAGTTAAGTGAGAATTCACTAAATGGCAAAGACCTAGAGAGAACTCCAGGAAGGAGGGCATGTCCAAGGGCAGCCAGAGAGTTGGAAAAGGAAGTGTGTTCCTAGGATCAGCAAATGCCTGGAGCAGAAGGTGTATACCAGGGGCAGCTTGGGCCTGGAAGACAAGGAACAAGACGTAGGCTGGGCTCAGGTGGAGGGGAGGGGGGGATCTTATTACCTTGACCTTTAGATTCAGCTTATGTTTAAACTGCCCTGATCTGGTCACCAGGTTAAGAAGTACAAGTGCAATACCTCCTGCTTGCCCTCCTTTTTCCGTATTTACCACATGGGAGGTTATGCCAGGACACAATGGAGCACTATTCTCTGGCATTCTGTGACTTTATAAATGACCCAGGGTGTGTCTGAAAGAAAGACAGGAATTGCTACTGACCTTTCCCAAAGCTCCCTCTGTCAACCGTCATGAAGAGTGACTCTATGCAGCATGTGACTAGTGGTATCACCTTCTCTTTCTCAAGGGGTCTATCCGAGAAATGGGAAGAAAAAGGGAAAAGTTCACACTGGCTTTTTCATGAAACAGCTGGGAATGGCTAATAAAGGTTTTAATCAGCATGCTAAGTATCTCGTTCAAAATAAAACATGGTGTATTTTCTCACCTAATATGAGGTAACACGACAAGGGCTGCCCAAGCACATGAGAGGAAAGTAGTATCGTTATTTGGTGGTAACTGAATTATAGATAGAAGACGGTCCAATACTGGGATCTGTTCCTTTCCTCCCTTGGATCTGGTCTTCCTCAGCCTTACATAGGATCTGAAAGAAGAAGAGATAAACAGGAATGTAATCGCTCTTGCCTTAAGAAGCTGGAAATAGAATTGGGCTCCTTTCCATGTGTGGAGCCTTTGGGGAGAGGAGGGAACTGGTGGTGATGGGTGAATATACACAACAAACAAACGTGTATCGCTTACTGATTTTAGCGAAAGGCTTTTCAACCAAACTGGTTCTATTTTCTTCTATTTTCCATTTTAATTTGCTTCATAACTTAAAGGAAGCCTTTTCCAGTTTTAAGTATTATTTCTGAATTTTGTGCTGATGCACATATTTTTAAGAACTGGAGAGGTAAGTTTATTGGAATAAACTGACTTCCACCATCCTCTTTCCTTTTTGGTATGTTTACTACAGTTGCCCTCTCTACCCCAACTTACTTGCAGTTTCGCTAGAAAAGTCCATAAATAAACAATTCATACATTTTAAATAGGCTTCTGTTCCCAGGAGTGTGATGGAGTCCCGCACTATCCCGCCCCACCCCGGGTGTGACGCATCCCTTCGTCCAGCTTCTCCACACTGCTACCTGCCCGTTAGTCTCTAGCAGGTATCGCCATGCTTGTGTTTGGTGACCCTTATTTTATTCAATAATGGCCCCAAAACACAAGGATAGTGATGCTAGCAACTCTGATATGTCAAAGACTTCCTGTAAGTGAGAAAAATGAGTGTTGCATGTATGTAAAGAAAAAACATAGTATATATAGGGTTTGGTACTATCCAAGATTTCAGGCATCCACTGGGGACTTGGAACAATGTATCCTTTGCACATAAGGGGGGGCCACTATACTTCACAAATGTAGAACATGTAGAATGACGCCGCAAAGTTCTTGTAGCGAATCTGACAAATGTCACTAAAATGATTATGATTTAGAACTAATTTTCTCTGCTGCTTTAATCTGATAAATGGTCACTCAATGATGTTTTCTGATATGACGTTCAGTTTTAAGTATCTACTACTTTGGCATTCTTGCTAGCCTCTTTCTATTTTTGCCTATGAACTATACCTTAGTCCTCTTTAAGACAAAAATCGAATCAAAAGAAAAAAGCATAAAAACATGTAAAATGATATTTTTATAATTTATCCACCATGTCCAGTTTGCTTAGCTTGTTTTTCAACAGAAGTAGAATATCAGGCTTTTATTCCTTATCATTAAAATTAACCAAAAAGTTGCATTCCCTTTTGTGTCATACCTATCAGGATACTGAATATTTGGAAATTCTGATAATTTCATTGGCAATTTCTAAAAATCACTACCTCTTGATATATAGTCTGTCAAGTACTAACCATGACTGAACAAACTGCAAAAACCTTACAAGTAGCTTTTAAAAAGTGCATCTTTAGTTACCATGTCATTCCCTTGTTTTGTCACACCTGCCAATGAGCTCCTCCAATACAATCCACACCCCTTACCTCATTCTGTGAAGTCCTAAGTGATCTGACCTTCGCCTATTTCTCACTACCTCGTTCCACTCTTCTAGCTCAATGCTCCCATCCACACAGGCTTGCTTTTTGTTCCTCTCACACACTGGGCCTATTCCTGTCCCAGCCACTCCTCCCTCTGCCTAGAAAGCCTTCCTTGGCCAGGCTGGCTCCTCCCATCGTTACAATGGACCCAAAAGTCCCCTCCCTAGAGAAAGTCCAGCTTCTCACTCACTCTCCCTCCCAACACCCTATTTTCTTTTTCTTTTTATCACTAACTAAACTTATTTTGTTTGTGTCCCTGCCTCACATACTACCCCCACCCCAAGAATGTCATCTTCTCAAAAGAAGAAACCTTTTTCTCTTTCATTGTTATGCCCCAGAACAGTGCCTGATACAATAAATATCTGTCAAATGTCAGAAAAAATTCATCTTCCAAAGAGTCTTTTCACATCTATCATCTCTTTCTATTCTCACAAGTCTGTGAATGGGTGGGTGGGTGACCGAACATTCGCATCTAGCTTATTTCTGGGGAGGCGGCAGAGGAGGTTTCCTTGGAGAAATGAACACAGAAGCTGTGCGCTTGCCTCACGTTAGTTACCATGCCTCCATTAGTGTTTTTATACTTATCATGCCACATTCTAAGAAGGATTTGAGAAGGCTGAGCCGGAGTGTGAGCAGATCTGACCAGCAGCCTCAGGGTGCCCTTGGTTTCACCTCAGGGAAGCCAACAACGCAGCTGGCTCCCCCTGCCCAGAACCCACAGTTCTGGCCATCTGAAAGGAATCTGCCTGTTGGGGATTGGCTTGGTGTTGCAAAATCAAGAGAAAAGTTCCAACAGAATAATCCTACAGAGGTTATTCAGTACCCATTCCTTAGGAATCAGAGCTGGGCAAAGTAAAAAACCAACAGGACCCCATTGGTATGCTTTGAAAGAGAAGCTCCTTTTAAGGTCAGTATATGAGCAATGCATGAAGATGGGTTCCTTCAGAATCTCACGCTCATCAGATTCAAAACCTAACTCGGCTGTGTGACCGTGGGGACAATGACACCATCTCAAGGGATGCTGCAATGCTTCAAAGCTGATTACTCAGCACAAACTCAAGGAACGCAGCAACAGGTCTAACTAATCCAAAAGAAAATGTTTTATTCCTATGTATTCCTATGCATAATTTCTAGAAACACACCCACTCAAACTATTTGAAAAGTGATAAGCAGGATCCTTTCACTTACTTACATGAACTGTTTTCAAGTTCCAAAGAGTATGCATTGCTGTTAATAGAATTAAGAAAGTAATCCACGGCCTTTAACAATGCAAAGGTATATGATCTAAGTGCTAAGTCACCTCTTTCTTCCTCTTGCCAGACTCGTATGTAATGTAAACAAAGTTAACAGTTTGTGTATCCCTATGATGTCAATTCTCTGCAAACTGATCTATAGACTTAATGCAATTCCAAACAAAATCCCAGAAGGGTTTTTCTTTGCTTTTTTTTGTAAACATAGACAAATTTCTTCTAAAAGTTCTATAGAAAGGCAAAGGAACAGAAATAGCTGAAACAACTTTGAAAAAGAATAAAGAAGAATATTTTTTCACGATATTAAGTCTTATTTTAGAGCTATAGTAACAAGACAGTGTGGTATTAGCCTAGAATAGACACATAGGACAATGGGACAGAACAGAGAACGCAGAAATAGGCCCACACATTTATACCCAACTGATTTTTGACAAAAGTGCAAAAGCAGTACTATGAAGAAGAAAAGCTTTTTCAACAAATGTTGTCAGAGCAATGGACAGCCGTAGGCAAAAAAAGAAACTTGACCAAAACCTCCTACCTTATATAAAAATTAACTCAAAATGGATCATGGACTTAAATGTAAAACATAAAACTATAAAACTTTTTAGAAAAATAGGAGAAAATATTTGGAAACTACAGCTAGGCAAGGAGTTCTTAGAGCTGACATCAAAAACATTTTCCATAAAAGGAGAAGTTGATAAACTGGAACTCATCAAAATTTAGAACTTTGCTCTTTGAAAAATCTTTAAGCAAAGAAAGGCAAGCTATAGATTGGGAGAAAATATTTGCAAACCACATAACTGATGAAAGGACTTGTATCTAAAAAATATGCAGCACTCTCAAAACTAGCGGTAAAGAAACAATAGAGTTAGAAAATGGGTCAAGAAAAGGAAAAGATATTTCACTATGGAGACCATGTGGATGACAAATATTCACATGAAAAGATGTTCAACATCATCAGCCATTAGGAAACTACAAATTAAAACTACAATGAGACATCACTATATCCTATTAACTCTGGTAAAAATAAAGAACAGTGACACCATGCAGTGCTAATGAGGATGCAGAGAGGCTGGGTCACTCACTGTGTGGGGAACAGGTAGTGGCACAGCCTTTCTGGACAACCATGTGGCAGGTTCTTATAAAACCAAATATGCACATACCACATAACCAAAATTCACTTTTGGGCATTTATCTCAGAGAAACAAAAAGTATGTACAGGAATGTTCACAACAGCTTTATTCATAATAGCCAAAAGCTAGACATGACCTAAACATCTTTCAACAAGTGAATGATTAAACAATACTACTCAGCAATAAGCATGTGAAATGACGTTTGACATAAAAAGGAATGAATTACTGATACAACTTGGATGGGTTTCACAGGAAATGTGTTGAGTGAAAATAGCCAATCTCAAAAGGTATACACCTACAATTTCATTTGTATAATATTCTTAAAATGACAAAATTACAAAAATGGAGGCTAGATTAGTGGTTCCCAGCGGGTAGAGATGGAGTGGGAGAAGGGTGAGTGTGGCTACTAGAAGGTAGCATAAAAGATCAGTGTAGTGATGGAACAGCTCTGTATCTTGACCCTGGTGGTGGTTACGACTACACATGTGATAAAACTGCACAGAACTTATATCCATTTACATACACATGTAGAGATAAGTGCATGTAAAACTGGTAACTCTGAGTAAGGTGGGTGCAAGGTCAAGTCTTTGATGTCAAGTCTAAGAACTTTGCCTAGCTGTAGGTCTCAAACATTACAAAAATGGAATTGTGCATTGAACCAATGTCAATCTTCTAGTTGTGATATTACAGTGAACTTATGTAAGATGTTACCATTGGGAAAAACTGGGTGAAGAGTATATGGAACCTCTCTGAAATATTTCTTGCAACTGTATGTGAATGTATTTTAAAACAGGTTAAAAAATTTTAGTCACATCTTTCTTTCACTTACTATCCTCCTGACATTGTGTATCTTCCATGTGTTTTCCTATGCTCACATACACTTTTTGTTTTAGCTTTGCAAAATGGGTATTTCACATATATTCTTGCTTTTTCCTCATCACAACATATCATGGACATCTTTCCAGTTAATACATATAGATCTTCATTTTTTTATGGTACTGTTAATGCATTATTTTTACCAGCAATACAGGGAATAAAGATGTAGAACTTACTCTGCTGTCTGTGGTGAGAAAACCAGAGGGTACCTCTCAATTGCCATCGAGCTAGCAGTGGGTGGTGCAGCTTTGTTCAGAATAAGCTTGGCCAAAATGGCCAGAGCTTCATCTTTGACTGCAGTGTCATCAATCAAGAAGCAATTCTCAATATATAAGAGAAAGCTGGGTAGAAAAAGCTAAAAATAAGAAAGAAAAAATCACAATATTAACATACAAATCTCAGAACACCTAAGGAAAAGAAGAATCTAACACTTCTACAGAGAAAAAAAATATCATAACCAAGAATCAGGACTCATGATGGCATCAGAACTCTCCACAGGAACAATAAGAACCAGAAGACAATGGAGTGATGCCTGAAAAACCGAGGGAAAATGACAATCTAGAATTCTATACCTAGCCTACTAGCAATATAGTGTGAGGAGAGAATAAAGACATCTTCTGATGTACTAAATCTCAAAATTTTACTTCCGTTAACCTCTGAAGAATGTTCATCAAAATAAGAAAGTAAACTATAACACAAGAAAAATGTGTGATCTAGGAAACAAGAGAAAAGAAAAGGATGGTTCTTGTCTGACATCTGTGCAGTGGGCTGAGAAAGCAACAGTCAGACTAGAATTGCTCCCGGAGGAATGTCTCCAGAAAAGGTAGGGAAAAGTTGAGCTGCTAGATTATCTGACCATGTGTCATGTGAAAGGCATTCTACAATGCTGCTGGAAAACAGACTCACTGACCAGCTATTCAAAGAAAACAATTTCCAGTTTTTAAAGAATGAAGCAATTTCAGGAAAAATGTCAAGGTATACAAGAAAGGAATATAATTATAAAATATTCCTTTTTTATATATATATATTTTATTGATTTTTTACAGAGAGGAAGGGAGAGGGATAGAGAGTTAGAAACATCGATGAGAGAGAAACATCGATCAGCTGCCTCCTGCACACCCCCTACTGGGGATGTACCCACAACCAAGGTACATGCCCTTGACCGGAATTGAACCTGGGACCCTTGAGTCCGCAGGCCGATGCTCTATCCACTGAGCCAAACCGGTTAGGGCAAAATATTCCTTTTTAAATAAGAGTCAAATATATGGTGAATATGAACTCAGCCAAAATTTGTGATATATTAAGATGAGAGGAGTAAAAGAACCGTAATTCATCTACCATAGGAGGAAGTCTATAGATGAGGGCTAAAACTAATGCATAGAGGAAAAGCAGCAAATTCAGATGATTTAAAAATATAAACACCAGAAAAAACACCTAAAGTCATTAGATGATTTGCTCCTCCTGAGTAAGATGGGAGTGGAAAACAAGTGACTGCCTTTAGCCCTGTTTGACTTTAAATTTTAAACACCATAGAGTACTCTGATAAAGATAATATTTTTTTAAAAAAGACAAAAGGGAACAGGGAAGAAGGAAAAGATGAAGTTACTAAAACAAAATTAAAATTTAAAAAGGCAGATAAAGGCCCCTCACTGGGCAGGAAGGAACAGAGCTGGTATGTGTACACAGACTTTTTTTCTTTGAGACAAAGGATTATATTATTAAAGACTAAAGGGAAAATGAGAGAACAGATACAGAGATGGGTTCCCATTAAGTATTCAAGGAGTGGCAAATGTTTGATGGGAGTGAGAGGAAAGGGATAAAATAAACTTAGGATTTGATAAGAAAGATTTCGACTTCATTCCATCAGGACCTATTGTGTAGCAATGAAATCAAATTCACAACAACCCTACAATGCAAAGTGTTTGAGAAACTATTTTCTATGCTTCAAATTCACATTAAAGTCTCTGAAACTGTTTCGCCCCCCCAATTTTACCATATGGTTTTATAACTCCCAAAAGGATTATTTAAAAACAAGTTGGTTCCTGAAACTAATATAATATTGAATGTCAACTGTAATTAAAAAAATAAAAACAATTTAAATGCCTTAGCATATGAAATAAAACTTCACTGTGACCTGAAATAAGAATATAATCGCTTAAAAAATTTATATACATATATATGAATACAAACATCCAATACATACGCTGTTCCTTTAAAAAAAAAAAGGAAATAAAAATCACAGGATTTTAAATTTATTTTTCTATAACAGATTAAAAACACAACAAATGGTAACATAGTATCTTTCTCACCTGCTCAAATTGCTTCATAGCAAACATGACTTCAGAAAAATCCAAAATTAAACGTCTTTCAAATTGGCTCTCAAAAGTCTGTGAATCACAAATAAAAAAAATTTTAATGTAAGTACACAGGGAGTACTTTCCCCATTCCTGGAAAAAACAAAGCAACAAAAACTTCCAAAACCTTCAAGGTCCTCCACTTGCAAGCAGAAAGCAGTGGGATGCTCAATACAAGTTAATACCGTCACTCGAGGTGAAAAGAACTTGACTGCTGAGTCTGCGGTTGCGAGAGGGACACACCCAGTGGGAGACACAGGCACTGCGGCCCCTGCGGGAAAGCAGCTGGAGTAATCAGTCCCCTGCTAAGCCTTCTCCACAGGAACTTACACAGACGTGAAGGGCTTTGTGTTTCTAGTGATGACACAGGGCTCTGCCAGAGCTGCTGGAATCTCTCCAGCTATGGAGAATTACAGAGGAGCCAGCAGCACGATTTAAACTTTCCGCTATACTTTCTGTGCACTATATGAAGCTAGGAAGAACTTAACTGCTCTATTTTCAATCCCACTTCCCTCCAATCCATCTTCTAAACTCACTCAAATGCAAATTTCATCAAATCATTTCCCTGCTTAGTTTTTCCAGGTCCCTCCAACACTGGCAGGATAACATCCAACCTAACTTTTCAAAGCCAAGCAGAGCCTTGCTGACATGATGTACATCACACTTCCTCATGTGTCCATGTGCCTCAACGACATAAATTTTTTAACACAGCTGTGCTGTTTCCTCTCGTAGAGTTTTCAACCCCTCCTCTGACTGGCAGACGGTTATTAACCTTCAAGGACTATCCCAAATACAAGTCCTTTGAAAAGCCATCTCCATCCCTCAACCCCAGACAAAACTAACCATTATGTTTCTATATGACATCAATAGATTAGTTTGACAAACTGTAATGACTAACTCTCAGAGCACCACTCCCTATCGAAAATCATAGGCACCATAGTGTCCACTGTGAAATCTAGTCCATACCCAGTGCAATGTAGGCTAGGTACATTTGGTGAACATTTGCTGAACAGATTTGGCTTTTATCACACTGTGTTTTCCTTATTATAGCATGCAATTCAAAGATTATTAAGATTATAAATTCCCAGAAGGCAGAGCCTTTGCCATGATTCAATTATACTCCCCAGGAGGCTTGTGCAATGATAAACATATTATTAACCACTCAATTAAGCTGAAGTAAATTACTTTTTCTATAGTTTCTTTGATGAGGGTCTCTGGCAAGGCAACATTTTCGCCTAGGATCAGAGCAGAAATGACATCCAAGAGGGTCTCCCGGCAAGATGTGGAGAGATGGGCTATTTGTAATGTTTGAGACAATACCTATAAGTAAAAGAAAAAACAATGTGTACTTAGCAATCAGCTTTTAATGATAAACAAACTCTAAGCAAATTAAGTTGAGAACTCACTTTACAAACATCAATAGGCTTGGTTATCTTTGATCCATTCCCATGTTTTACAAGTATCAGATATGTTTCTAACAACCTTTTAATCTGTTCAGAGCTTTCACCACAGTTAGTTTGGGTTACTTTTGTATGTAGATCCAGGAGTGACTCCTGCAAACAAAAAAATTTAATTTAAAAGAGAAAATATTTAACAAAGAAAATAACTATAAAATATCCAACTGATCTGTTAACCAAATAATAAAAATATTGTGTGAAGCATTCAAAGATTTCACTTACTTTTGCTCTGAGAAAAAAAAAAGGACACACTTACTGGGAGTCACTAAAGAAAATAACAAACATTTCTGAGTACATGGTTGTTAAGCTCCTTATAAGTATTTCCTCACAATCCACATGGCAACCATGAAGAAGAAAAAACTATTACCCTACTTACCAGATGAAAAGATGGGGGAATAGAGACTTAAATAACTTTCCCAGGTCACCCTATATAATAAAAGGCTAATATACAAACTGTCCCCTCAACCAGGAGTTCGACTGAGTTTGACCAGGGAGCAGGGCCAGCTGGCCAACCTCCCGCATCCCCTACACTCCCCCCTAGGCTGTCCCCTCCCCCACCCAGGCCAGGCTGATTGGCCTGATCGGGGCAGGCCAGCCAGACCCCACCTGTGCACAAATTCATGCATTGGGCCTCTAGTACTAACAATAAGAGACAAGACCAAGATTCAAATACAGGCAGTCTGGATGCAAAGCTTGCTTTCTTAATCACTATGCCCTATTGCATCTCAAAGTATCAAATCAAATCAAAATAGTGTAGAAGGTTGAAGGAAGGAAAATTCCAATCCTAGCTAATAGAGGGAATATGCTAATTGACCCTCACGCCATCATAAATATGGCAGTGCTCACAGCCAATAGGAGATATGCTAATTGACTGCCACACCCTCAAAGATGGTGGCGCCCACAGCCACAAGATGGCAGCGCCCAGTACCCTCAGCCCTGCTGGGCCAGCAGGCACACGGCAAAGCTGGACTCACCAGGTGGCCCGGCCTTGCCACGCGCCTGCCTCCAGAGTCCCCCAGTCCCCTCAGCCCCCCAGCTGCCCAGGGCCGGCCCAAGGCGCAGGCAAGCCTTGGCTGTAGGCTGCCCAGCTGCCCAGGGGCTGGCCCGAGGTGCAGGCAAGCCTCGGATGGTGGCTGCCCAGCCACCTGAGGCTCAGGTAACCAGGGCTGGCCAAGGCTTGCGCTGTCGGCAGTGGCAGCAGCAGAGGTGTGATGGGGGGGTTGTCTTCCCCTGATCATGGGGTCACCTGCCGCCCCTGAGGGCTCCTGGACTGTGAGAGGGGCAGGCTGGGCTGAGGGACCACTCCCTCCAGTGCATGAATTTTCATGCACCGGGCCTCTAGTAAGTGTATAAAAGTATAAGAGCAATTATAAAAAACAGTCACCAGGAGTGGTCTGCTAAATGAGCAAGAACAATCAACTCTTGGACTCCTTATTACATACAAGTCCTGAAAAATTAGAACTCACTTGCAAACATTCAAAAAATATACCAAAATGTTCCTTGTAGATGTAGAAAGCAGTGGATTTGGCCATGTTTTTTAGTGCTTCTCCAACTAAAATCCATGGCAGTTGAGTTTCTGTTTCAGTAACTGGTCCTAGCTTTTGCAAAATTAGCTTCACTGCCTGTGGGAATTCAAGAGTCATTAAAATAAACATGTAAACCTTCATTTTTAAATATTACACTGATTTCCCGCTCTGATTATATTAGTCACCTTAAAATTGAATCTAGGAATAATCAAGGATATTTGAGGGTTAACTGTCTTAAAAGGAATTTTCTAACTAGGATGGGAATTTCATCATCCAGCTGCCCCCACCCACCTACTTTTGCTCGTTAATCAATTGATGTTACTAGGATTCAGGATGAAGAAGAGAGCAATGATCTTGCAAGTAAAAATACCTACTGATTCAAAGCCTACATTAGGTAAACACTGCTACTAAAGCCTTAATGCTCCCCATTTACTGCTATTTATTCTCGCAGTCTTCTGTCCATCATTTCAGTAAATCTTTTCTGTTTTCTTTTCAACCCCTTTCACAGAGACTGAAAGTTTTCCCCCCAGCTATTTACCTTTCCTGTACAGGAGTGAAACATATTTCTTACTCCTTTGCACATTTCAAAGAGCAACTGTCCAACTCCTTCTACCTTTTCCGGATGTTCATCAAGATCAAGAAACATTAAATTGAAAAGTGAGTTTTTATCAGAAACCTAAAACACAAAATGTAAATGGAAAATTGTATTTAAAACACAAACATCCAAATGAAGAAATTTTACTCATTATTCTACATATTTATATTTAAATATAATTAGGACAAAATTCTAGGAAAAGACACTTGTAATCATCTCAAACTATTATAATAGTATAGTAACACTTATAACATCACACAAGAGTAATTCATTAGTATAAGGTAGGGGTGGGCAAACTTTTTGACTCGAGGGCCACAATGGGTTCTTAAACTGGACCGGAGGGCCGGAACAAAAGCATGGATGGAGTGTCTGTGTGAACTAATATAAATTCAAAGTAAACATCATTACATAGTCATCTCAAACTATTATAATAGTATAGTAACATTTATAACATCACACAAGAGTAATTCATTAGTATAAGGCAGGGGTGGGCAAACTTTTTGACTCGAGGGCCACAATGGGTTCTTAAACTGGACCGGAGGGCCGGAACAAAAGCATGGATGGAGTGTCTGTGTGAACTAATATAAATTCAAAGTAAACATCATTACATAAAAGGGTACGGTCTTTTTTTTTTTTTAGTTTTATTCATTTCAAACGGGCCGGATCCGGCCCGAGGGCCGTAGTTTGCCCACGGCTGGTATAAGGGATGTACCAAGAAAAACTACATAAGGGACATTCTGTCTTTTATAGAAAAATCATATATTTTATGAGTATAAGAGACATTTAATATCAATGTTTTTGTTTTATTACAAAACCCTCTAAAATTTTCTATGGAAACCAATACAACTGACACTATGCAATCAGTTTCTTCCAGGAAATCATTATAAAAATTCCTGTTAATTTCACTGTTCATGTATTTACTCGCTTGAATTAGGTGGCGCTTTTAAACACACATACATATACACACACACAGACGGAGAGTAAAAACTACCAAAAACCTAAATAACAACAAAAGAATGACCCAAATTATTTCACATTAGTGAGAAGACTAAACGTATGGTGATATAAACTCAAAATACTTATGCGATGTGTCTGTGTGTGTGTATGTATACATAGATAGACAAATATATACACACATATATAAACACATATACATATATAATTATTCCATAATAACTACATTATAAGAGATATCAGGCTTTTGTTCATTAGGTTCTTGAGAATTAATGAGCAATAAACATATCAGACTAACCTTTCTCATCAAAAAAGTAAAGCTTTCAGCAGCAAAATTTCTTATATGTAGTTTTTTATGAGCCAGGAGTGTACTATACATTCTATAAATGAGAGAATAAAAACATGTTTAATAATTATAATTTTAATAAAGATAAGCTAAATGTCAACTATATATCCAACTAACACTGAACTAGATATGAAAGGAATATGTAGCAGGCATAAAACAAAAAGTTTAAAATCTCCTTTGATTACCAAGACACCCACCCACATGCTGGAACAGAAGACTGAAGGTCAGAGAAATTAAGAAGCAAGGATTGGTGGTACTGGACTTATAGAGAGGACTCCGTGAAAAGTTGAAACTTGTAGTAAGCCCTGAACAAGAAGAATTCAGGTGAATACCAAAGTGCATATCACTAGAGATAAAAGCAAGATTAAAGACAGAGTTCACAGAATTGATCATGGTCAAGAGATAACAAGGAGGCGTCTACCAGTCGGGGCAGGCAGTTGCAGATAAAGCTACCCAGTAAACAGGTGGCTATGAACACCAAGCAGAAGAGTTTGGACTCTAGCTTACATTCATGTAGGCACTTCCTCTGTTACTTTACTCAGCACAACTCTACAGCGTAGGGCAATAATGGCGAACCTATGACACACGTGTCAGAGGTGACACGCGAACTCATTTTTTTGGTTGATTTTTCTTTGTTAAATGGCATTTAAATATATAAAATAAATATCAAAAATATAAGTCTTTGTTTTACTATGGTTGCAAATATCAAAAAATTTCTATATGTGACACGGCACCAGAGTTAAGTTAGGGTTTTTCAAAATGCTGACACGCCGAGCTCAAAAAATTCGCCATCACTGGCGTAGGGAGTATTAATATCCTTGAGCACACAGCTGTTTTCACAGAGGCAATCTTGAACACTGAACATGCATACATTGCTTTTGCTCACAGAACTAATGCAGGTGGGGAGCAGGACTGACTGAAAACAGGCATGAGTAATCTTTTGGAGATGATGGAAATGTTCTTAAACTGTATTGTGGTGATGCTTGCATAACTTTATTAACTTACCCAACGGCACTGAATTGTCAATAAAATACAATACAAATTAAAAGCAAAAAAAAAAAGAAAAAGAAAAAGAAAAGGAAGAAAAAAGATAAACACTCTGTTAGAGAGAAAAGGGTCACCTGTATATATTGGGCATGTCCTTCACCATGAGCCTCCACAGGTACTTGTACAGGTACGACAGCGAGGTGAAAGCCCATTCTAACAACTCAGTGTCCTGAGTCTCCAGGATTGAGGTGACAGTCAGAAAAAAATCCCGAAAATGTGGATAGAAGTCTGTCTGCAGATCTCGTGCCAGCTGTACAACCAAACTGGATTAACAACAAGAAAAGTAACATTTGTGAGACATACAGACCAAAAAACAAATACTGCAAGTCAATTTCATAAATGATAGTTGATCGCCTATGATGACAGGATTAATTAAACCTTCCAAATCAAATCTCAAGAGAGGTATAAAGTTTTTCATATTTCAAGAATTCAGCAAAGATAAGGCTAAAGCAAGAAGGTACATTCTATCACAAATTATGGTCAACCATTCCTATTGTATGTATCAAAGAAAAATGGGGCTCTCTGAAAAGTATGAAACAAAAGCAAAAAAATATATGCCTAAGATTCAGCTTTATGGCAATGCACTAGTACAAAGAAAAATGGGGCTATCTGAAAAGTATGAAACAAAAGCAAAAAAATATGCCTAAGATTCAGCTTTATGGCAATGCACTAGTATTCAGACTAACAGAAAAGGTAATTTCTTATTTTTAAACATCAGATCTAAGTCATATGTAGCTATAAACACAACCATTCATAAAGTTCAGACAAATATCCATGAGCTTTCTCTCAACATGCTACTTACTCCAAAAGGGGTTGATAAGCAAAACTGTTGTTCTTGATCAGGTGAGTCTTCAAACTCTGAACTATCTCGTTTTGATGATAGACCAGCTGATTGAATGATTGACATTTGTCAATAACTTCTTTGTAAAATTTCCCTGGATGAAAAAAAAAGAAGTTCTGTTTTCCTATCACACCATGATTTAGTTGTTTTGAACATATAAAGTGCAAATGACAGGTATTAAAATAGAAAAAAAGTAGAAAATACCAAAGTGTTCCGTAAGGTTCAATTCTCTCCATTTCAGCAAACCTTCAAAAAAGTAGGTTTCAACCTCCTGTCAAGATTAAAGCAACCCATTAATTATTTATTTCAAAGACAAACCATAATCAAAGTAAATAACAATAGTGATAGAGTAATATCTTAAGACAATGATGACGATAGTCAAGCATTAAACTTTTATTTCTTAAAAAAGGGCATTAGCTAACATACTTGAAAAGCATTCAAGTGTACTATACAATAGTACAGTAAGGAGAGATGCTTAATTTGGTTGTAGCATATAATTCTCTAAAATCTATAAAACAGTCATACTAAGGAAAAAACTTTTTTTTCTATTATTTTTTACACTTTTAGGCCCATAAAAATCTACGGACTCTTCACAGTTCTTTAATCTTAAGGGGAAGTAATCTGGCATTTCTTATTAAAATGAAAACCAGGTATAGCCTTTGACCCAGTAAGTCCCCCTTTGGAGATATTTCTTATAAAACTTGCAAAGATACAAGCATATAGATGTTTATTTAGCTTTATTGTAGTGGGGGAGAGAACATAAAACAGCCTAAATATCCAACATAGGAAAATGGTTGGAATAACTTGTGGTCTATACATACTAAGATGTATTATGTGGCAATTAAAATGATCTATACCATATTGAACAAGAAGGAGGTTGATGATATACCCCCTAAAGTGATAAAAGTTCCACAGTCAAGTGTACAGTAGGATCCAATTTTTCTTTTTTAAAAAGACCTCTATACATTCGCACATATTTTATGAGAGAAAAGCATGGAAGAATATACATACACCAAACTGCCAATATCAGTTTCCTCAGCAATAGGGGTGGAGGGCTGAGATAATACAATAGTCTAACTTCATCACTTTATTTAGCTTTTTAACATAGTATATATTACTTTGTATTTTGAAAGGTAAGACCAATAAATTATTACCATACACGTGTATATGCATGTGTATATATATGTACATATACATGTATATGTGTATATATATATACACACATATATATATATAGAGAGAGAGAGAGACAGAGAGACAGAGAGGACAAATACATAAGCACATACACAAACAGCATGCTAAATCCTCCATATATCAAAAAAAAAGTAAATCTACTTCTGAGAGACTGAAATGTTTAAAAAAATAAAAATGAAATAAAATTAATAGTTACGGAGACTAGAGAGGAAGAAAGAGAATCTAATTATATCCTGTTCAGTGTCTCTTAAGGCAGAAAACGTTAAGGTAGAAGGCATTCCTAACCTGGCACTGTGACTGGCACATGTCAACCATTGGTGACAGACTGTGTCCCTGTCCCTTTGCAATGTGACTTGCAGCCCCTACCCCAAGAGACAGAGTCTATTTCCTCGCCCCCTGAATCTGGCCTGGCCTCATGACTTGCTTGACCAATAACATGCAATGGAAATGATCCTGTGACTGCCAGAGCTAGGGTAAGGGGCTTCGTAGTTTCTGTTTTTGCTCTCTTGGAAAGGTTCTGCCATTAAGAAAAGAAGCCTAGTCTAGCTTATTGGAGAACAAGAGGCTGTGAGGACAACCTAGACCAGGGGTGGGCAAACTTTTTGACTCGAGGGCCACAATGGGTTCTTAAACTGGACCGGAGGGCCGGAACAAAAGC